GGTAGGATTAGTGGTAGAAAACACCGCAGGTGGGCTCACGCAATGCCTCCTAATACCACTCCGCCGCACTGCGAACGGATCAATTCTAGGAACATCCGTACAAAATGAAAGGAAAATAAGTACACTTCATATCCTAAAGATGGAGAAGGCGTGGCTGCGTGCGTCTTCGAGGCCTTGCATGGGATGCTTTTTCGTGCAATCTTTCCATCGGAGACAACTGTCACCCTGGCTTGTGCTGTACAAAGAATGACTACAGTTACTCCGAAACGGCAACCAAAAGCGCGATTTTGGCCACATTGAAGTATAGACGCGGCCACGCCTTGTTTACCTCTGGGATACATCTCTCCCCTGGAGGAAGGTTCAATTTTTCGCTCACAACCGGAGGACTTCTAATTCCCTGATTGTGACCTATAGGCAACACCTCTTGCCACGCTTGATATTCACGGCTACGAGAAGAAAGCATGAGAAAAAGGTAACCTCCCTCCGTGCAGTCACTGCTGCGAAAATTTGCAGCAATAAAGTGGTAGAGTACCCAGCGGCGACACTTAACACGCACAGTTGGGAGTCAAGGAAATCCTCTCGTCTATGCCAACTTGGCCTTCTCCCCCTGGGGATTAATAAGTTGTACCTGGCTTCTTTGAGAGAATAAGCACTGAACAGTACAGTGGTTGGTCGTGGCCCGTCACCGTATGAACAAATTTTATTCAACTGCGATTCTACCTGGGAATAGTATGCAAATCCCACACCCAGAAATTCGACGCTTTTCGGCTTGTAGGTGGGGGGGGGAACATCTCACATTTTCGCTGGTCCCCGTTGTCGTGTTCATCTCGCAAGAGTTGACAAGTATTCTTTCAAAGAGTTGACAAGAAGCTCCTGCAAAATGACTGATATCTGGATTTACAAGATTTCGCAAATCTTTACTTGTAAGCTTAAACAATGGGAAACAGCGAAAGTGAGAAAATGTACCACTCTCAGTCGGTGTTTCCCCTTCCCCCCCCCCCTTAGCCGAACTGCCCGCCCCAGGATTTGATCCCACTGTGGATGCATTATCCTCACATGGAAAAGAGAGCTAGTATATTAAGCTCAAAAACAAACCTTCCAGCAGAGTTTGTGGCAAATGGCTGCGGACAACCCTGATAGGGCCGGTAAGGGTGACCTTCCCAAATTGAGCCTGGATGACAAACAGTCCAAAGCGGTCGTAATGCCGGTTAGGATCGGGCTGTGTTGCGGTGGGTGGCTCTACTTACGATTACGTGATGACCTGTCTGATTCTGATCCGCAGTAGGGTAATGGAGAGGTTCGGTATGAAGGTCTACTTTTATCCTTTCATGGAAAGCCGACATGGCAAAGGAGACAAGCATCAAGCACCAGTAGGTCTAGGAATGACGAAAAGCGAAGCGCGTTACGTGTAGCAGATTCTGCAAACGGAGAACTGGAAGCGATCGCAAAACCAATACGTTCAGGAGTGTGAACTCCGCACACGCGGTGCATGTCTGGAATCGTG